GTTTGGGTTGATCCCCTCCCAGAGTTTGTAATTTCTTTAGCGGTTTGTGACCTTCAAGATCCACCTGAAACGTACTAAGCTACAAGTCTTTGCTTTCAAAAAAACCAACCACAAGTTTGGCCCCTCTTTGAATGACGCTCCAAGAAGTCTTGCTAGGGCACAGTGTACCCTATAGGGGGCAGATATATACCTCAGAAGTTCCTCCTTCCTCTCTAGGATATCCAATTTGTCATACGATTTTATCAGAAGCTCCAATATACACAGCAATAAGATATTGAGTACCAACAATTAATGCTAATGTAGCTGCAATATTGTATAGGAAAAAAAAGATGGCTCACCTTTCTATTTCTATCTTTTCCTTCGTAAATGGAGTTCCCATGTTATGGCATAAGAGTCCTTTTGTTGAAAGCAGAGGTGGCTAATGACAATTCCTTTAGGGTAAAAAGCTTGAGACCCAACTGTTCTACAGTGCATGACACCCCACCCCGATCTTGTGTTGAAGAATTGAGATAAAAAGATCCAGAACTTTAAACAAGGCTGAAGTACACACATAAAAAACAGAGATGGAATGTGAAAGTAAAGTCTGAAAAATAAAATTGCATTATACAATTACAAAAGTTTATGGATTAATCGGTGAGTTCATCTTATTGCATCAATGCTACAAGTTTACTAACCCTAAGTTTATGTAACTTTTAGCAAATATATATTGCAAAAAAAAAAGAATAAAGGCACCATGGGCAATGGGATAAAAGTCCAAAAACAAAATGACTCCATATGATCCAATATTGTGTAAATATAAGAGTTGAACTTAAAAGACAGTGAAAATATTCTCTCAAAGATATCTTCCTTCTCATAAATCAATAATGTAAAACTTGAACGATAGCATACAAAAATAACGCAAAATCCAAAAAAAAACTATGTGAGAGAGGGGCACAATAGGTATATATCCTCACATTAAAAAGTTCATATCACAAATACTGATTATAACTTATTATTGATAATGACATTGCATTCGTCACATATAACTAATTGTTGGCACATAATTATGTACCATCAATTAACAGAAACAAACTGACACATGGGAACTTCTATCAAGTAAGCTTTTACTTCCTTTAGATATATATTGGTCCGTTTCAATCCAGGTTACCAGTTTCACAATGGTGAACTGCCATCTGATTAAATGTTCCCATATATAAAAAAGTTGTAGGTACCAGCAAACAATATACAGGATAGCAGTTCAAATGATAACTTAACATACACAAAGTTAACATGATAATTAAAAGAAGATGTAGACAAAGAACAACAAACAAATAAAATGCTAATGAGAGAGACAACATTTTACTTGTGCTTCCAGTAAACACGGTTCAGTTAATTAAAAAAATCAAAATTACCACCCTACTCGGAAAGAACCAGGTATAACACAAGATGTCTCCGGAGAGCAAAACATGGACCAGAATGGCAATATGGTATTCTAAAGAATCAAATTTGACTCCAAATCATTAACTATTTTATCCATTGACGATACAGACACATGAAAAAACAAAGTGTTTGAAGAGTTGCAGGTTGTAGGCTTGTAGCATATCCTATCATCCAATAGAATTGCAATAGGCAAGCAAACAAATCAAACTACAAAAGTACATTAAATTGCTTAACCTAACAAAATTCAGAACTCATTGTCTCTTCACATGAAACCTTTTGTACAATAGGGGCTGTCGTGGGTTCATAATCGCGGTGAGCATCGTAATGAGGTTGTTCGTCGGAAGTCAATGTGTGGGTCTCTGGTGGCTTGGACGCTCAAAAACACAAGAGGGAAATGGCAATTTATCCTAGCTCGGGCTTCTGAGCCCTACGTCCAGCAATATAGTATTCTTTGTGTTAATATGTGCGGTTGGTAAGAAACCATCAATGATTTTTTTTGCATGTTTTCTATTTAGTCACGTAATTCATATATATAATGGATTATTCTAAAATATAAGTAGTCTCATAGTTTTATTAAACAAGTTACACAAATGTACATATGTTTGGAATGGACGATTTTTTTTCTATTCCTGCATTTTCCTGTGAAAATGAACCGATCCTTGTGAATTTTCTATACCGTTGTTGTAAAATTCATGTGTTCTAAATAGGCTCGTAGTCTCCAATCAGACTGCCTAAAAACCATGATTTTAATTCATCCCAATTCGAGATATCCAAATCGTGCTTGCTAGCACCCGAGCATTCGGACAGATGGGGCGTCCGCATGCCTACGCCTGTCGTCTGTTTCTCGCGTCGTTTCGCGCATCCACGTGGGGCCTACACCTCCCCGAACATCAGCACCATTGAGAAGAGGGGGGGGGGGGGTGACGGATGCCCAGCCGGTGCCGGGAGAAGGAGGAGACACCGAGGCGAGTTAGCAGAAAGCGAGGACAGAGATGCAACATCCGATCACTTTGGAAACATCTAGATGCAACACTTGCAACATAATTCCGAAGGCAGATAAAACACTTGAAACATGCATCTAAAACACTTACAAAAACACCTGAAAAATACTTAAAACCGTTGTAAAACATACGCATCATCCACGTAAAACACTTACAACATATATGTGTGAAATATATGCGACATCTAAATAAACACATTTGCAACATACGTCTGGAAAAACATATAAAACATTGAGAACACAAGTTTGCAACATACGTGTACAACCATTACAACATATGCACCATCCTGTTCTACTTTTTGCAACATCCGTATGAAACATTTGCAACATACCACTAAAACATCTTAAACACTTGAAACATATGCTTGCAACATGCGTTTTCACCCTATCGTTCTTCTCTCGGACGACGTAGAGCAGAGCAGGGAACGTCCGGTTCCGGCCAGCCGGTGGTCGAGGATGGTGGCACGGCTTGACAGCGGCCCACTGCACCTGCGGCTGGCTTGGGCCCAGCCAGTGACAACGGCCTCTTTTGGCCGCCTGGCCACACACAGTGGCTGGAAGGAGCCGCCGATCTCAGCGAAGTTGGAGAGGATGCCCGCGAGGAGCGACAGGGATTGCGGCGCGGCGGCGAGGTGTGGGTACGAGGAGCGGCGCACGGGGCAGTGGCCCGTCAGGGGGACGACGAGGAGTCTGTGTGGGCCGGGTTGAGGAGCGGGTGTAGGATGCAGTACGCGTGCTCTCGTACGAGCAGGCAACGATTGCGTTTCTCATCTGTAGGAAGGAGGAAAGCTGACGTTCAGGCTCGTGTGGAAGAGAGAGGGAGGGAATAAGTGAGGTGTGGCTGGTTAGACTGCTAGCCATCTAGCCCAAGCAGAAGGAGCGAGCGTCCGCGGATAGACGCCCGCTCGCTGGCATTACCGTATCCAAATGGCCGCTAACTAAAATTATGATGAAATTCGTTGGCCTAATAAAAAGCATGATATTATTTCAGCCCAATTCTAGATATACAAACGGCCTCTTCTAATTGAAATTCGTCGGCCTCGAAAGTAGGCCTTACAAAGTTGTACAGCGCCGGCCTGGTCCTTCGGCTTTTGCCTTGCGGGCCGCCGACCTGCCTTTTGTTCTTCCGTTCGGCCGTTCTCCCCGCATACGCGCTCTCGTGTCCCGTGCCCCTCGAGTGCGCTGTGTGTCTACTCTCTGGTGGCGACGACTGTGGGCCGGGGGACCTCCGCCACCGCCGTACGCCATCTTCGGGCCTTTCGCCAGTTCGCCGGCGACGAGCATCCACCAGGTACCTCCACCCCTCCTCTTCCGTTCATGCTGTGCGAAACCGAGCGCCCAAACCCTAACGTATAAGCTATTTGTATTCCGATCTGATCTTGACCTATTTACAAGTGTAGTATGCATGTATTATGCCTGCAAACTTCGATCTCCTCCCCTGTAGCCAGGTTGTTCTCTCAGCATATATAACAGTAGAAATTCCTGCATTTTTTAGAAATCCGGAAGGTTATCTGGTTGGTTCAGTTTTTCTTCTTCCTGCCTTTTTTATCGTTCAAGGAGTTGCAACAACTGTTCTACTCATTGTTGTTGTTTTTCACCAACCAAACTCATTGCTGTTGTTGATTCTCACCAACCAATGTAGTTGCTGCTACTATCAATACTTCACTGTTAATTGTTAGGGGGTGCAATGTCATGCCCTTACTCTCTTGCATGCTAAGTACATACTAGTAAGGGAATTGTGTGCTCTATTTTATCTGTTTGATTGTAACTTGGCCTTTTTTAAAATCCAACTCCTTCCACAATTTACAATAAACTTGTAATCATGTACACTGGTTTGAAGTGACTGTGTCACTTAGTATAATAGTTTCGGCATTTAGGGAACCACATGTCTTGCCACTTTTCTGTTTCCTCTTTTTTTTAACAGTTTTATATTATTCCATTTGCTGCGATAGTGCAATCAACCAAGATAACGTTTGTTATTTGTAGTTCTGGATCCAGATGTTAGTTGCAGAGGTGCTCAGAGCTGGAGCGTACATCTCTAGCTTTTCTCGACATGCATGCAGAGTATACACTACTAGCGAAATGTATTGCGGTAGCATTTTGAATCTAAAGGCTTTTGAGTTCTGACAAAATGCAGCTTCTTGCCTGACTGTACTTTGTTGAGCAAGTTGCAGTAGGAACTTAGTACATGTTTGTTCTATAGAAACTTTCAGACTTGTGAGGGTTTTGTCCGCTTCTTTTCGAAAGAAAAATAGTAGAGTTTTAGAAAACATATGCATACAGTTTCTTTTATTGAACTCTTAGAAGTACTTGAGCCATTGTATTTTAATTTATCTGCCTACAGTTGGTTGTATTGAACACTGGGACATCCTGGGGCCTTTGTTGTTCAATTATGATTATATTTCTGTATACTTTATTTTTTTAATGGTTAATCAAATTGCTAGCTTATATAATGCTCCCTCAAATTTAGGTTGCAAGATTTCCCAGCACCGCTTGCTCACCCATTTCTCAATTTAGAAAACCTCAGTTTCTGTACCGGAGCACCAAATCAAGACCATACCACTTTAGTCAGTCCCGACTGATGTCAATGGCTGCAGCTCCGGCCAATGGTGATTCACAGAATGGTCCTCAGAGGAACTATCAAGTTGTTGTTGCTGCCACTCGTGACATGGGCATTGGGAAGGATGGGGTCTTGCCATGGAAGCTTCTTGGTGATCTTAAATTCTTCAAAGAGCTTACATTAACTACATCTGATCCTGCCAAGAAGAATGCAGTTATAATGGGAAGGAAAACATGGGAGAGCATTCCTGTTAAGTCAAGGCCATTGCCTGGTCGTTTGAATGTCATACTTACTCGATCTGGTAGTTTTGATTTTGCAACAGTAGAGAATGTTGTTATATGTGGAAGTATGAAGTCTGCCTTAGAACTGCTAGCATCAACTCCATACTGCTTGTCAATTGAGAAAGTTTTTTGTTGTAGTAGGAGGTGGGCAGGTACTGAGGTGAGTTATTTACCTTTTTGAACAACATACTGTACATGTTTCTGTTGCTGCATGTAACTGTGTTGCAATGCTATTCACCCTTCTGCAATATTTTTATGTAGAGAGTATCTTAATGGACCTGCATGTGAGGCTATCCATCTAACTGACATTCATTCGAGCATTGAGTGTGACACTTTCATTCCTCCAGTTGACTTCTCAGTGTTCCAGCCATGGTATTCATCTTTCCCAGTGGTAGAGAGCAACATCAGGCATTCTTTTGTGACTTTTGTTCGTGTTAGAAAGTCAGTGGCAGAAACTCACGAGTCAAATGGCAAGGAATCAACTGAGGTTGATACCAAGAATGACAAATTTGAAATAGAGAATTTCTCTTTTCTCCCCAAGATGGTATATGACCGCCATGAGGAGTATCAATATCTCAATCTTGTTGAAGATATTATAAGGTCTGGTGCTCAGAAAATGACAGGACAGGAGGCTGGAACACTGTCAAAATTTGGGTGTCAGGTATTTCTCCTTAACTTTGAATATTTAATATGATCAACCAGGAAAAATAATTTGTCATTCATTTTCTTATTAGATGCGGTTCAACTTAAGGAAAAATTTTCCTCTACTGACAACAAAGTGCATAAGCATATATGTTGTAGTTTTCGGATTTAATAAAGTGAGTCAAAATTTGCAATAGGAATGTGCTGCAAATTGTTTAGTTTTTTATGATATGTGAGAATAAACAAAGGCAAATCAGTGTTTACAAGCTTGTATGTCTTTAATGCTTTGTGCTTGTTAATTTTCAAATGCATGTTTATTATTGTCTTGTCCTTTTTTTTTTTTTTGTTACAGTATTTGCAATCAAGTCAATGCTGGTTTAATTTTTTCTTCTTTTATGACCCCCCATACACTCTTTTCTTAATTCTCAGTTTTTTGTTGAATCATCTACTAGTTTAGTAATTATTTATCGAGATAGCTATACACTTATTGATATGTTATTAAGATAGACATATTGTGCGAGACCTGTGGGGGTATTAACCCCTATACCCTTATGGCTAGGCTCAAAATTTGCCTTGACTAGGGGATCCGCTCACTAGAAGACGACCAGCATGGTCCAAATAATCTGTTTGGAGTCCTGCGCAAGGAATCAAGGCGATTGGAGATCTAAGCAAGATCCTAGTCGGTTAGAATAGGAATCCTTATCCGCCACCTATGGCGGTTATAATCGATTAGGATTAGTTTCTAGATCTGTAACCACCTTTGAGACTATATAAAGGTGAGGCGGGGACCCCTCTAAAAAGACATCTCATTGACATACAAACAATACAATCGACGCAGGGCGTAGGTATTACGCTCTCACGGCGGTAGAACACGGATAAAACCTCGTGGTATGCATCTTGCGTCATCATCTTGTTCAGTAGCTTGCGCTTTTGTCTGCCGACAATCTACTACCTTGGGCATACCCCTAGGTAGACTGCCGATCATATTTCGTCGACAGTGGCGCGCCAGGTAGGGGGTGTGCGTACTGCTCTCCAAGCGAACAAGATGATCATCATCCCCGGCTCCGTGGCTACGCCGAACGGCCTCACGTTCACCGTCGGCCAGATCACGGAGGAGGTGCGGACTCAATCCGCATCGACCACTGCTTCACCTGCATCGGCTACGGCTCCGACCACGGTGGATCTGGCCCCGACCACGGTGGATCTGGCTCCGACCACATCCGCATCGCCTTCAGCCACACCGACAACCCGTCGTCCGCTTTCTCGCTACAAAGGGAAGCAGATCGACAACACCGACCTGCTCGACTCCATCGATCGGGTCGGCACCAAACTTGCCGAAACCCTAGCTCTGGTAAGTTCGATTCAAAGTCAACCTAATGAGCAGGTAACCGCTACCCACAACAGATCTACCCGACCAGCTCGGGCCAGTCGTCCTGCACGACTCGGTATAGATCTCGTGGTCACATCTACTCCTGAAGGGCGCTCCGTTCGTGCGTCGGCTAGCCCCGCGACGGGTCTCGGCTCTCCGAATCGAAACCTCGATGGAGAATTACTGTGCTCACTTCTACTACTGCGAAACATCGCTTCCAACTATGTATACGATGCAACGATCTTGGCCAAGACCATAACTTAACCGCCAACATGGTGGGATCGAGGAGTTCCAAGAAGGATCGATCCACCACAGTTCGAGAGGGTGGCTCAAGCTCCACGCCCAAAGACCGCATCTAATGGCTCCATCCACACCGAGCCCCAGCATCATGACGATGAAGACGTTGAATACGATCTGGATATCCCAGACCACGCCTCGGGGTTCCCACGATTCCCATCCTTCCCACCAAGGCGAGGAGACTTGATCAACGTTGTCAGTAATGACGAACCACCAGCTGTCGGCGAAACAGAACAAGAAAGGCTAGCACGCGAAGCACGCAATATTGACCGGTTTAATCGTCGACAAATCGAAGACGAGGCTGAAGAGGAGGCACGACGCATAAGGGTCCATTGCCGCGACCTTAACAATGCCTTTGATAGGGTGGGGACAAGCGGTCTTCAAGACCCCAAGCGCCAACGTAGGCTGTTGCTATATTAACGATGCAACGACTACCCAATACCGAAAACCAGGCGATTCGTGATGATATACAAGCTTACTTGACGGGCGCTATGGCCTGCACGCAGAGATTGTAAATTAAGCCCGGGCTCCATCCGTCTCGATCGAATCAAGCCACGTACCGCCGAGTACTCAAGTCGCTCACAGCCACCCAACCAACGTGGCTCACGCAACAATGACCCATCAGACAACCGTCAAGGCGGGAACGGTGGCCATGATGGTGGTCGGGACGACAATCGCCGCGGCTACCGGGACGACAACCGCGATAATCGCCGTGATAACTGCGGTCGCAGGGTTATCTAGGGTGGCAACCGGGATCGCCGTGATGGCAATAACGATCTCCGCCATTACCTCGGAGAACACGATCTGCGCGATCGCATTAATCAAAGAGCCAACGATCGTGCATCCCACGAAAGCTATTGCTGTATGGAATATGATACTACCCACGACCCTCCGGGTTTGAAGCAGTTTACTCCGCACCTTCGCCAAGTCATATGGCCCAAGAACTTCAAGCTCGAAAAACTTCAGAAGTATGACGGCAAGGAGAACCCCGAATTATGGGTCATGCTCTACGAAACCGCGTGCAGATCAGCCATGGTTGACGAGCACGTCATGTCTAACTACTTCCCAGTCGCTGTCGGCCATGCAGGCCACCAATGGCTGGTCAGCCTGCCGGCGAACTACTTTGATTCTTGGCAAGAGCTCAAGCAAGCTTTCATCGACAACTTCATTGCTACTTGCGAGCAACCCGGCAACAAATATGATCTGCAGCGGATTCGAGATCGGAAAGATGAGCCACTACGCGAGTATGTCCGGCGTTTCTCGGAGATGCGCATCAAGGTCCCGTCAATCTCCGACAACGAGGCAATTGAGGCTTTCATCAATGTCTCCGTTTCCACGATGCCCTACGGGACAAGCTCCTCCGCAAGAGACTGAATCGATCCACGGCACTCCCGGCCTTTGCCAAGAAAAATATGCGGATGCCGAGCGATGCTAAAAAGATAATCATCGAAGAAGCAACAAGGGTTCCACGCCGACCACCACCCTCCACACCGCGACGACTCATGGCGGCAACCGTGGTCGGAACGACAATTTTGATCGCCGCAACCGGTATAGCGACCCCGCGACCACCGCGACCGGTAGAATCGGCGGCGTAATCGCCGTGACAATTACGAGGGCAAGCGTGCTCGGGAAGACGACGGTGAGGTCAACACCGTTAAGAAAGGTGGCGGACGTCGCAACTCACGAAGAAGACTACGCCAAAGCATTGAAAGGACCTTGCCGGCTCCACCCCAAGTTGAACCATACCATGGAGAATTGCCGCGTTCTCAAGTCTATCTACGCGCGTCAACGGGCTCGGATCGTCCCACAAAGCCTAACGGCGGGGGGAACAGTATAACGAGGGGCGGCGATAATGAAGACGCAGATCCCGTCCACAAGTACGTCAAGCCAACCGATCACGCCCACACCATCATTGGAGGCAAAGTGTCCATCGAGACCAAGCGAGAACGCAGCGCTGCTCGCCTGCGCGCTTGTTTGAAACGTGGGCAACGCCGACAATCTTATCACCGATCCGTGGCTCCTCCTTGGTCTCACCGCGAGATTTCTTTCGCGAGAAAGGACCAATGGGCGCAATACCGAGCCAGGACGTTTTCCTTTGGTCCTCGATCCTTGTATCAACAAGGTCCGATTCGACAAGAGGCCGATTGACGGCGGCGGCTCCATTGATATCTTGTTCAAGAACGATGCGCGACTCAAGATAACCCAGGCTGATCTCAAGCCACACGAGGCGATTCTGGGTGTTCTCCCGGACGAGCTCTACTCCTCTCGGGCGAATCACGCTACTGTGCAATTTGGTACCCCAGACCACTTTCCGCACCGACCACGCCAACTTCGTGGTCGCCGACTTTGAAGGCACCTACCATGCTATCCTTGGTCGACCCGGCGCTCACCAAGTTCATGGCCATACCTCACTGCGGTATTTGGTGCTCAAGATGCCCACTCGAGAAGGGGGTTCTAACTCTCAAGGGCAACGTGTATGCAGCTTACACTTGCGAGGATGATGACTTTAAAATAGCGAGGCTCACGACCTCTCTATTCGCATGGCCGAGACCACGCTCGACGCCAAGAAGACCCCACCGACCACACAGAGATCCCGAGCTCGAGGCCCCACGCAAGAACGTCAAGTCCAAAGAGCACAAAGCGATCCAAATTGGTCGACGGTGATCCCGACCAAAACGGCCCTTATCAGGGCCAACCCGGATCCTAAATAGGAAAGCGCGCTTCGTCAAAGTTCTTGAGAACAACGTGAGCGTGTTCACATGGAAACCGGCCGACATGCCCGGGTACCTCGGAACTTGATCGAGCAATCCTTAAATGTCGACGGCAAGGCCAAACCTATCAAGCGAAGCTTCTGACGGTTCGCTCGCGACAAAAAGGAGGCTATTAGGGTAGAAGTTACACGGCTTTTGGCAGCCGGATTTATCAAAGAAGTGTATCATCCGGAGTGGTTAGCCAACCCGATCCTTGTACGCAAAAAGAATAATGAATGGAGAATGTGCGTTGATTACACTGATCTTAACAAGCACTGCCCTAAAGACCCCTTCGGCTTACCTCGCATAGACGAGGTCGTAGATTCAACTGCCGGTTGCGAGTTGCTTTCCTTTCTCGATTGCTACTCTGGTTATCACCAGATCGCTCTCAAAGAGGACGACCAGATCAAGACATCCTTCATCACGCCCTTCGGCGCTTACTGCTACACGACCATGTCGTTCGGGCTAAAGAACGCCGGGGCTACCTACCAACGCGCCATACAGGCCTGCCTCAACGACGAGATAAAAGACGACCTCGTCGAGGCTTATGTTGATGATGTAGTTGTTAAAACCAAGGAAGCATACACCCTTGTTAACGATTTT